GAGAGTCTAGAGCAGACTGAATACTTCAGGCGAGGTGAGGACACCCCCCCCCCCTCGATCACGTGATAGCTCCGTGGGTCGCTGCCCAGCAAGAAGCCGGCAGTCTAACGAGCCACAAGGGATAATTACAGTTAGACAATCAAGGCTTGAACTGAGCACACATGTTACATCCTACCTAACAAGTCAAATAACAATATAAAGCAATACGTTTACGATTTAGCTATTATCGCAAATACAAGCAATATAAAATTATATGAAAAGATAATTATATATATACATAATAATCATTGCAACCCATTCAGGGGTTGCAACACACATCTCCTGAAGTGCACATAAACCAAATAACTGCTGCAGCATATGGGTGCCTAGCAAACCTCAGAACAGCATTCCGACATCTTAATAAGGAATCGTTCAGGACCCTGTACACTGTGTACGTTAGGCCCATATTGGAGTATGCGGCACCAGTTTGGAACCCACACCTAGCCAAGCATGTAAAGAAACTAGAGAAAGCACAAAGGTTTGCAACAAGACTAGTCCCAGAGTTAAGAGGTATGTCCTATGAGGAGAGGTTAAAGGAAATCAACCTGACGACATTAGAGGACAGGAGAGATAGGGGGGACATGATAACGACTTACAAAATACTGAGAGGAATTGACAAGGTGGACAAAGACAGGATGTTCCAGAGACTGGACACAGCAACACGGGGACACAGTTGGAAGCTGAAGACACAGATGAATCAAAGGGATGTTAGGAAGTATTTCTTCAGCCACAGAGTAGTCAGGAAGTGGAATAGTTTGGGAAGCGATGTAATGGAGGCAGGATCCATACATAGCTTTAAGCAGAGGTACGATAAAGCTCATGGTTCAGGGAGAGTGACCTAGTAGCAACCAGTGAAGAGGCGGGGCCAGGAGCTTGGACTCGACCCCTGCAACCTCAACTAGGTGAGTACACACACACACACACACACATATATATATATATATTGTACCCACGAAACAAGTGGTATTGATCAATAACACTGCGCTAACCAAGGAGTCAAACCCATGCTGTTTTGGTCCGCCTCATGGTAAGAGAAAACGCTTGACGCTTTAGACCACCAGACCACACAATCCTTGTGGTCTAAAGCGTCATGCATTTTCACTTACCATGAGGCTGGCCAAAACAGCATGGGTTCGACTCCTTGGTTAGTAAACTGAATGGTAGCCTTAGACCTCTTGTGTTGCAATCAACACATCATCAGGAGCTTGCAATATTGCAGAAAAGAGGAGGTCCACACAAATAAGATCCCAAATGGATGAACAATAGATTAAAACATCTCATTGGTCAAAACAGAGGCATATATAGGCATATCAAAAGAGGAGAGTTAAGAAATCAGTATATTCAATTAAAGATATAAATAAGAAAAGGAATAAGAAAAGCAAAAAGGGATTATGAGCCTAAGGTCACAAGGGATTCGAAGGCTAACCCAAAAGGGTTCTTTCAGGTATACAGAAGTAAGATTAGGGACAAGATTGGCCCACTTAAGAGTAACTCTGGTCAGATCACTGACAGTGATAAGGATATGTGTGAAATTTTCAATACTTCCTCTCAGTTTTTACCCAGGAAAATACTAGTGATATTCCTGAAATAATAGATTATGTAGAACAGGACGATAATAAACTATGCACGATTGCGGTAACTAGTGACATGGTCCTCAGACAAATAGAGAAATTAAAACCTAACAAATCCCCAGGCCCTGATGAACTGTTTGCAAGGGTGTTAAAGGAATATAATGAGGAACTTAGCATACCTTTGGCTTATCTTTTCAACATATCACTACAAACTGGCAAAGTGCCTGGTAAGTGGAAAATGGCAAATGTAATACTTATTTACAAGGCAGGTGACACGTCCTTGGCTTCGAACTATAGTGGGAAAATTTATGGAATCAATAATTGCCGAAGCAATTCATAGCCATCTTGATAGGCATAAATTGATTAATGAATCTCAACATGGTTTTACAAAGGGGCATTCCTGTCTTACGAATTTACTAACTTTTTTCACTAAGGTGTTTGAGGAGGTAGATCATGGTAATGAATATTGTATATTGTGGACTTCAGTAAGGCTTTCACTAGAGTTCCACATCAGAGGCTCTTGAGGAAACTTAAGGCACACGGAATAGGAGGAGAAATTTTTTCCTGGGTAGAGGCGTGGCTGACAATTAGGCAGCAGAGAGTTTGCATAAATGGGGAGAAATCAGAATGGGGGCACGTCACAAGCAGTGTTCCTCAGGGATCAGTGTTGGACCCGTTGTTGTTCACAATTTACATAAACGACATAGATGAAGGAATAAATAGCGACATAAGCAGATTTGCTGATGACACCAAAATAGGCCGTCCAATTCATTCTATTGAGGACACTAGAGCACTCCAGGATTTGAATAGACTGATGCAATGGTTGGAGAAGTGGCAGATGCAGTTCAATATAGACAAATGCAAAGTTCTAAATGTTGGACAGGAAAATAACCATGCCACATATAAACTAAATAATGTAGATGTTAATACTACAGATTGCAAAAAGAATTAAGGAGTTCTGGTTAGCAGTAATCTAAAACCAAGACAACAGTGCATTAGTGTTTGCAATAAAGCTAACAGAATCCTTGGCTTCATATCTAGAAGTATAAATAATAGAAGTCCTCAGATTGTTCTTCAACTCTATATATCCTTGGTTAGGCCTCATTTAGATTATGCTGCTCAGTTCTGGTCACAGTATTACAGAATGGATATAATTGCACTGGAAAATGTACAGAGGAGGATGACAAAGATGATCCCATGTATCAGAAATCTTCCCTATGAGTATAGACTGAGGGCCCTGAATCTGCACTCTCTCAAAGGGCGTAGAATTAGGGGGGGATATGATCGAGGTGTATAAATGGAAAACAGGAATAAATAAAGGGGATGTAAATAGCGTGCTGAAAATTTCCAGCCAAGACAGGACTTGCAGCAATGGTTTTAAGTTGGAAAAATTAAGAGTCAGGAAGGATATAGGAAAGCACTGGTTTGGTAATAGAGTTGTGGATGAGTGGAACAAACTCCCGAGTACAGTTATTGAGGCTAAAATGTTGTGTAGTTTTAAAAATAGGTTAGATAAATACATGAGTGGGTGTGGGTGGGTGTGAGTTGGGCCTGACTAGCTTGTGCTGCTGGGTCTGGTGCCATGTTCCTTCCTTGAGTGGAGGTGACCAGACTGGGTGGGTCATTGGGCTAATACGGGGGGGGACATGGACCTGCTCCGCATGGGTCAGTAGGCCTGCTGCAGTGTTCCTTCTTTCTTATGTTCTTATGTTCTTATTACATTTTTCATCCACCCTGAGACTAAATAAATATTTTCTTACATTCTTCTGCATTTTCAGCTTCCTGCTATATCCCCTTGACCTTGGTCCCCTTAATTCAGACAGCCTGCCTCTACCTGCTCTTTCAGTTCTTTTTAAGTTTTTGAGCACATTGATCATTGCCCACTTGTCCCTCTCTCCTCTAAGGTCATCTGGTTTACTTCAGTCTTTCATCATAGTGCATTCCTCTCAGTTCCTGTACTAGCCTGATTGCAAACCTTTGGACCTCTAAGAGTGTCCACATACTTGACCAGGTTGGGTTCCATGCTGGAGCCGCATACTAAGTGATTGACATAACATATGTAGTACTGAATAGTAGCAATTCATTCATTACTCTTCCATTCTGATTTCTCCCTTATTGTTACTCTCTACCTTATATCATTCAGGTGCTCCTTAACCCACTGGAGCACTCTGCCTGTTCCTCTAATTCCATGATTAATCTCTGGTATGATACTGTATCAGATGCTTTCCTGCAGCCCAAGAAGATGCAGTCTGCCTAGCCCTGTCTTTCTTGTTTTATCTTTGTAACTTTCTCATAAAACTTCAGCAAGTTTTTAAGACGAGGATTTCCACCCTTAAATCTGTACTTGATTTCTTTCCTTTACTGTCTGCTTCAGAAATTTTGACAGTATGCATGCTAGAGATACCTGCCTGTAGTTAAGTCTGTTTCCATTTTTATATATATATGAAGACCACATTTGCCTTTTTACAATTTTCTGCCATTTGCCCTAATTGCAGAGATTTCTTGAATACCTTTGATGTTGGGTCACAGTGGTTCTGTTCCTACTCTCAGCATCCATGAAAATATGTCATCTGGTCCCTTTACTTTTTGGTACATCAGCTCATTTAATAGTAAAGTGATGTGTTCCAGTACTTGTTGATCAGATTGACTACAGTGTCTTCTGGTAGCTCAACACTTTTCTTTTATCTATAAAGACCTCTTTGAATCTTTGGGTAATTTTTTTACACACATCTGTCATTCTCCATCAGCATTCCTTCCTTCCTTTTCAGGCTTATCACTTAGTTCTTCACAGTTGTCTTCTTATGTGGCTGTGGACTAACTTTGGTTCTGTTTTGGCCTTTTATGCTATATGATTTTCCTGTCAGTTTTCTGTCTCTTCTTAAACTCGATAAATTTCATATCAAACTTTCTTTCCTGCTCACCATTTATCTTTTTCTCCATCTCCTCCAGTATCTTTGCCTAGGTTTTAAAGATAAATTTCCCTTTGATCCCATTTGTTTCCACATTCGTTTCATCAGCCCTGTATGCTACTAGTGGTCATTCCTTGTTTCCTTCATTGTTCCTCTCACCCCCCAGCTGTACTCCATTTGCCCAACAACAACCTATTCCTTTGTTTTGTTCTTGTTATTGATGTATAATAGGTTGCTCTGAGGGAACCCAATGTTGAGTGTGGAGGGGAAGGTCCAAGCTAACAGTACATTGTGTATGTGTTATGAACTCTTAGGTTCAAGGTATTGTGTATAGGTCAACATTGTTAAGGTGATGTTTCATAAACTTGAATAACTAATATTCATATTTTTTGGCGTATTGTGTTCATTGTTCTTTCCACAAATAAAAGTTACTTTAATTTACGGCTAAGCATTGTATTTGTGTATCTTATTTTACCGCCAGACGGTCAGCTGTACGTGGGCACCATTGCGGATTTCGCGGGGCTGGAGCCTCTAATCTACCGTGAACCATTACGAACTGAGCAATATGATCTCTCCACCTTAAATTGTAAGTTGAAATGCTCTTATGAAGTTTACTGCTTTATGAATTACATGTCTTTTTACATGCAATTTTGTATAAAATTGTAATTACTAAATGACTTTTGTCTTTTTGCAGCTCCTAACTTTGTAAGTTCTTTTGCTCTGGGGGATTTTGTATACTTCTTTTTCCGGGAGATTGCTGTGGAGTACCTCAACTGTGGCAAGGTATGCATGCCCCTCTCCAACATTCTTTTTGAACCATTAACTGTACCATTTTTTCAAATATGTGTTATCAAAATGTATAACACAGTTAATAAAAGGTAAGGTAGTGTGCTTAGATATAAACTGGGCAGTTATCTTGTGTCCTTTATCAGACACTGCACTAAGCATTTGAAAGACTAATAGCCAATACTACTCTGGTTAAAGTAAGGGTGAAAGCAGTGTTGTTTATGCCAGTTAAATAATGCATACAGTACAATGCAATACAATGCATATATTGAATTCCTGGATTACTTCTTCATCATATTTAATGCTATGAGTACAGGCTAGAAATATATTAATAAAGTTTTTCATTGGTGTGTTTTTAGACCCTGTACTCAAGAGTGGCCCGGGTATGTCGCCACGACAAGGGGGGACCTCACAAGTTTCGCAACAAATGGACTTCCTACCTCAAGTCCAGACTCAACTGCTCCGTCTCCGGGGATTTTCCTTTCTACTTCAATGAGATACGTGAGTAGCAAGCAGATTTTTTCATATTCTGTTTTTTTACTACATTTCTTGTAAGTACTGTACTTGCAAAGGAAGTTATGTTAAATGTGAATGATTGCTCATGGAGTCAAATCAGATGAGCTGATGTACACATTTACCTTTGATGAGTTTTGAGAGTCTTTCTACTCCTGGAGCCTAGCCATGAGCTAGGTTCCAGGAACTGCAACATCCTGAGAATTGCAATACTCTGTACAGTGGAACCTCAAAAATCGAACTGCTCCCAGCTCAACCAATTATGTAAGTGTATTTTTGTAAGTGCTTTTATAAGTGTATTTTTGAGGGTTTGAAATGGACTAATCTAATTTACATTATTCCTGATGGGAATAAATTCATTCGGTAACAGCACTTGGACAGCCTTCTGGACTGAAGAAAGTTCGATATTTGAGGTTCCACTGTACTTCCCATCTCCACAGCTCAAGTCCAACTAACCACTTTCACTTAATCCCTGTTTAAATGTCACAATACCTTGCTTGCATGCTGACAGCATGTCTAGTAAAGAACTGTTTGTCTCCACTTCAATTTAACATGCAGTATGTTCATAATACAGTATCACAAATTTTTTATTTGTTATATATTATGTAATTAATTTTCAGAGGCAACAACAGAACCTGTTGAAGGGCGCTATGGAGGCCATGCCACAACTCTGCTCTATGGTGTTTTTACTACCCCAGAAAATTCCATTCCTGGTTCTGCTGTGTGTGCATTCACATTCCAAGATATCATGGACACTTTTGAAGGCCCCTTTAAGGGTCAGGCTTCTGTAAATGCCAATTGGTTGCCCGTTCAGGGAACAAAGGTGAGATTTAATATTCAACATTTGTAAATAAATATTTTTGATTTAATGGGAACCAAGGGACATGTACATCAAGAAATGCTAAATCCTCATGGGCCAACAAAAGCAAGCAGCAGTGGAAGTTCGATCCTTTGTCCATTATTTGTAACCCTATTTTAATGCATTTAATCTGTTGGTAATTGCTGTGCTACGTGGTCTATGGGATCAGACGTAGTGACAGGAGAGCTATGGCTGCAAAACTTGTCAAGTAGACAAAGGTACATACTGTGTGTGTGTGTGTGTGTGTGTGTGTGTACTCACCTAATTCACCTAATTGTGGTTGCAGGGGTCGAGACTCAGCTCCTGGCCCTGCCTCTTCACTGATTGCTACTAGGTCCACTCTCTCTCTGCTTCCTGAGCTTTATCATACCTCTTCTTAAAACTATGTATGGTTCCTGCCTCCACTACTTCACTTGCTAGGCTATTCCACTTCCTGACGACTCTATGACTGAAGAAATACTTCCTAACGTCCCTGTGACTCGTCTGAGTCTTCAGCTTCCAGTTGTGACCCCTTGTTCCTGTGTCCCCTCTCTGGAACATCCTATCTCTGTCCACCTTATCTATTCCCCGCAGTATCTTGTATGTCGTTATCATGTCTCCCCTGACCCTTCTGTCCTCCAGTGTCGTCAGTCCGATTTCCCTCAACCTTTCCTCGTACGACATTCCCCTGAGCTCTGGGACTAGCCTTGTTGCAAACCTTTGTACTTTCTCTAACTTCTTGATGTGCTTGACCAGGTGTGGGTTCCAGACTGGTGCTGCATACTCCAGTATGGGCCTAACATACACAGTGTACAGTGTCTTGAACGATTCATTATTTAGGTAACGGAACGCTATTCTCAGGTTTGCGAGGCGCCCGTATGCTGCAGCAGTTATTTGGTTGATGTGTGCCTCCGGTGACGTGCTCGGTGTTATGGTCACCCCGAGGTCTTTCTCCCTGAGTGAGGTCTGTAGTCTTTGTCCACCTAGCCTATACTCTGTCTGCGGTCTTCTTTGCCCCTCCCCAATCTTCATGACTTTGCATTTAGCAGGATTGAATTCGAGAAGCCAGTTTCTGGACCACATGTCCAGCCTGTCCAGGTCTCTTTGCAGTCCTGCCTCATCCTCATCCGATTTAATTCTTCTCATCAATTTCACATCATCTGCGAATAGGGACACTTCAGAGTCTATTCCTTCCATCATGTCATTTGCATATATAAAAAATAGCACTGGCCCTAGAACTGACCCCTGTGGGACCCCGCTCATCACAGGCGCCCACTGTGATACCTTTTCACGTACCATGACTCGTTGCTGCCTTCCTGTCAGGTATTCCCTGATCCACTGCAGTGCCCTCCCTGTGTGTGTGTGTGTGTGTGTGTGTGTGTGTGTGTGTGTGTGTGTGTGTGTGTGTGTGTGTGTGTGTGTGTGTGTGTCGCGTGTGTAATGGTCGTAGCCGAAAATGTTAAAATTATCGGTCAATTAAGGAAGAAACTACTACTTTAAAATAAGTTTATTTTAGCTCCCTTATTTTAAATTATTTCATAATTTAGTTTAAAAGAAATAATATTTTTTTTCGTTAAGTTAAGCAAAAATTTTGAATTTTGCACAAAAGAATCTAATGAAAACCTTAACCAAATAACACCTTATTATAACAAAAGCAATTTATTTTACTAATCCCAATATTAATAATGGTTTAAAAATACATTTAAAATAATTTAGTTTAAAAATTCACAATCAAATATATTTTTTTCATTATGTTAAGTAAAATTTTATTTTGGCGAAATATTGCTACACAAATTTTCACTAGTCCTATATGGCAAGAGACTTGTATTTAAGCCAAGATCCGCAAGTATCCTATTCGTGTCATCTGACATAACATACATGAATATATATATATATATGTGTGCCGAATTATGTAAAACTGGTTCAATTTAGCAAGAACTCATTTAAAAGATTAAGTCCTATTCCAAAATTTTTCTTATACAATTCAAGATATATATTTTTATTTATTATATGTTAATGTAATAATAAATTAATTTAATTATTGGCTCAAAAGAACTTAGGGAAACTTACCTAACCTAAGTATTAAAAGAAACTGAATTTTTTAGCTGGTAACCCAGACTAAATATATTTTAGATTTGTTACATATAATATTAATACTAAGACAAACACAGTGAAACATATTTTTTCGTTAGTGCTTCGAATGTATTTTGTCGAATTATTGCTACCCAAAGTTTTCACTTGTCTCCTCGTGCAAGATGACGTTGCTATAAGCCAAAGATGCGCAAGTTCTGACCTATTCCGCACGATATATTATATATATTATAAGGAAATATTATTATATATTATGGCACCTGTGATATATTATATATAATATATAAATAATATATATAAACATTGTAGGTAGTAGGTTGGTAGACAGCAACCGCCCAGGGAGGTACTACCGTCCTGCCAAGTGAGTGTAAAAGGAAAGCCTGTAATTGTTTTACATGATGGTAGGATTGCTGGTGTCTTTTGTCTGTCTCATAAATATGCAAGATTACAGGTAAGTCTTGCTACTTCTACTTACACTTAGGTCACACTACACATACGTGTACAAGCATATACACCTACCATCCGACTTACGACTGAGTTCGGTTCCGAGAAAGCAGTCGTAAGTCAAAATGGTCGTAAGTCGAACTTTACTACTGAATATCAGCAAAACATTTTTGTAAAGACTTTATTTTATTGTTTTATTTTGGAATTTCATGTTTTACTTTACTTTTTATGTTGTTAGTACAGTGGACCCCCGCATAACGATTACCTCCGAATGCGACCAATTATGTAAGTGTATTTATGTAAGTGCGTTTGTACGTGTATGTTTGGGGGTCTGAAATGGACTAATCTACTTCACAATATTTCTTATGGGAACAAATTCGGTCAGTACTGGCACCTGAACATACTTCTGGAGTGAAAAAAAATTGTTAACCGGGGGTCCACTGTATTGTATTTTATACTGTAAGATTTAGGATAAACACTGTGTACAACACGAATAGTTGTTTATTTCCCAGAAATTTGGCATAAAAAACACGGTCGTAAGTCGAGTGGTCGTAAGTCGAGCAGGTCGTAAGTCGGATGGTAGGTGTATATATACACACCCCTCTGGGTTTTCTTCTATTTTCTTTCTAATTCTTGTTCTTATTTATTTCCTCTTATCTCCATGGGGAAGTGGAACAGAATTCTTCCTCCGTAAGCCATGCGTGTCGTAAGAGGCGACTAAAATGCTGGGAGCAAGGGGCTAGTAACCCCTTCTCCTGTATATATTATTCAATTTAAAAGGAGAAACTTCAGTTTTTTCTTTTGGGCCACCCCACCTCAGTGAGATACAGCTGGTACGTTGAAAGAAGAAGATATATTCAGTGGACCCCCGCATAACGATATTAATCCGTTCCTGAGAGCTCATTGTTATGCGAATGAATTTTCCCCATAAGAAATAATGGAAATCAAATTAATCCGTGCAAGACACCCCAAAGTATGAAAAAAAAAATTTTACCACATGAAATATTAATTTTAATACACACAAACTGAAAAAGGTATGCACAGTTACATGACACTTACCTTTATTGAAGATCTGGTGATGATTGATGGGATGGGAGGAGGAGAGAGTCTTAGTGTTTAGAAGGGGAATCCCCTTCCATTAAGACTTGAGGTGTCAAGTCCTTTTCTGGGGTTACTTCCCTTCTTCTTTTAATGCCACTAGGACCAGCTTCAGAGTCACTGGACTTCTGTCGCACAACATATCTGTCCATTGTGGCCTGCACCTCTCATTCCTTTATGACTTTCCTAAAGTGTTTCACAACAGTGTCAGTGTAATAGTCACCAGCACGGCTTGCAATAGCTGTGTTAGGGTGATTGTCATCAAAAAAGGTTTGCACTTTAAGCCACATTCCACACATTTCCTTAATCTTTGAAGTAGGCAACTTCTTCAATTTCTCTCTCCCCTCCTCCGAACCAGTTTCCTCAGGTCTGGCCTCTTGCTGTTGAAGTTGATCTAGCAGCTCATCAGTGGTTAGTTCTTCATTGTCCTCCTCCACCAACTCTTCCACATCATCCCCACTAACCTCCAACCCCAAGACTTTCCCAATGCCACAATGGATTCCTCAACTGGCATAGGATTCCCAGGGTTAACCTCAAACCCTTCAAAATCCCTTTGGTCTACACATTCTGGCCACAGTTTCTTCCAAGCAGAGTTCAAGGTCCTCTTAGTCACTCTCTCCCAAGCCTTACCTATAAGGTTTACACAATTGAGGATATTAAAGTGATCTCTCCAAAACTCTCTTAGAGCCAATTGAGTTTCTGAGGTCACTACAAAGCACCTTTCAAACAGAGCTTTTGTGTACAGTTTTTTTGAAGTTTGCAATAACCTGCTGGTCCATGGGCTGCAGGAGAGGAGTGGTATTAGGAGGCAAAAACTTCACCTTAATGAAGCTCATGTCCCCATAAAGTCGCTCTGCCATGTCTGTAGGATGACCAGGGGCATTGTCTAACACCAGGAGGCACTTAAGGTCTAATTTCTTTTCAGTTAGGTAATCTTTCACATTGGGGGCAAATGCTTGGTGTAACCAGTCATAGAAAAAGTCCCTAGTGACCCATGCCTTACTGTTTGCCCTCCACAGCACACACAAATTAGCCTTGAGGATATTCTTTTGCCTGAACGCTCTGGGAGTTTCTGAGTGATACACTAATAAAGGCTTCACTTTGCAATCACCACTATCATTGGAACACATCAACAGAGTAAGCCTGTCTTTCATTGGCTTATGTCCTGGGAGTGCCTTTTCCTCCTGAGTAATGTAGGTCCTGCTTGGCATTTTCTTCCAAAACAGGCCTGTTTCATCACAATTAAACACTTGCTCAGGTTTCAGTCCTTCACTGTCTATGTACTCCTTGAATTCCTGCACATATTTTTCAGCTGCTTTGTGGTCCAAACTGGCAGCCTCACCATGCCTTAT